CAAATCAACAGAGTAACCATTATTCTTTCAGAAGGAGAGAAGAAATCTAGGGTAATTAGAGGGGGGAGGGGGAGAGATTGGACAAGGGGCATAAAGAATAATTATGATTTGCAACAATATATATGCTAGTAATATTGATTTGATCAACATATCTCAATGGTGAACCCCCAAAATATGTATAATCAATTGATTCAATAAAAATTAAAAAAAAAAAAAAAGAATCCTCCTGTCACAAATGTATTAAGAGGAAAAAAAAGCAATAAATCGTTTTTAGAAATCTTGTAAATGTGGTTTTCCTTCAATTTGTCATGCTACCATAAAGCTAACAATGTAATCAAATATTAGAAGGAAATCTAAACATACCATTTGTCACTTTTATAATCAGTAAAAAACAAAGTTAATGAAAAGATCATTTTTCTCTCAATTTATGATAAGACCAGACCCAATTAAAGTAAAAAATACTCGATTCTGTACATAAGCGTGTCAAAAATTAAATTCATACCTAATAGTCTATAGCAATTATAAAATTTCTATAATAAGATACAACTGAAGAAATCTGTGTCACATTTCATTATAAAATCAAAAGATATATCAGAATAATCTAATGAAATAAGTTTTATCTCTACACATAAAAATATCTATAGTAAAAGGAAAAATATTACATCACACTTAATAAAGACAATGAAATCATATATACTTCTACAGCTGTCCTGTAGGTTGCTATTTATTAACAAATTGTGTTCTTCAACATTGATTTCTAGTGCCCAATACCCTTTGTTGGACTTGTCTATATGACAATTTACCACACAGCTCTGATTGTAATTTATATCTATCTTTAAATCATAAGCTCCAGCCAAGAAGAAATAAGAGCTTACTGAAAATATAAGCCAATGGCCTGAAAATATAACACGGCATGGATTTCCCTCTAGGATTTCCTGATTGTTTCACTAGTACTCACTATTCATCATTATAGGTCTTAAACTTGGACCTGATAGATTATCAAATTACTTGTTTTTCCAGAAATATTTACCCAGATAGGAGCTTTAACACAAAATAGAGCAATAAGCTTTTGATAAGTTTGCCAACCAAAGAATGCAATCAAATGCAACAAAATAGCATGTGCTCCAAAAACCAACAAATTCCAGCCAGAGCAAAGTCACTGCAATTTCCCTTATCCACAAGGGTCCACTGAGAAGGCATTTAACTAGTCACAACCTAATGCCTACCAGCTAAAGCAGCATCCTCTTCACTTTCTGAGCCATATTGAAGTGCCATGGTAATTGCCGATAAACGACCCCCTTGGACTGCTCTTTTATTCCTACAAAGAAAAACAAGCAATTAGAAGACACAGAAAGATGTTACAATAATTCGGTTACTTTACAGGAATAGGAACTGTTAACAAAGCATTAATATAAAAGAAAAACAATTTCCATTCAACTGCCTTCTTAGTTATCTCAGTACTTCTTAATATTCCTCATAATCAATCTTAGCCAAGAAAATAATTTTCTTTTCTCCAGAAAAGTGGTAGTGGTGGTGGAAAGCCTACAGTAGGTTACTTTCCATTTGCTTTTTACTTAAATGTAGCAATACTCCTTTACTGTATGGAAAATAAGGATTCAATCACAATTACTGGTAATTTTCTTCTAAGATGCTCATATTTTACAATGACACAAATTTTGTTATGAACACAAAACCTATTAGTATTTAATCCCACATTTTATTGGTAACTAATATTACATACTACCTGAAGATGATGCTTAAGCATTGTCTGAGAGAAAGGTAGGGCCTACGATAGCACCTCAAGCTTTTAAATAAAGCATTTGATAACAAATTCTCACAATAAGCCAACTATTCCCAAAAATATGACTTCAAGATGGGCATCAAAAAAAAAAAAAAAAAAAAAAGAAGATAGGCATCAGGCAAACACTAGTATGCCTATTTTCATAAGCATGGGTCAGTTCTCAGACCAAACACTCTCTGTCTCACCGGTAATACTTGCTAGTGGGATTTCTCTCTTCACCAAGGCTGCCTTTACTGTGCGAAGGACCTGTCAGCCTGGTTGAAGCCAAATTTGATGGAGTCCTATCCAGAGATGAGATAAAAAGATCAGAAACTTGATAGCTGAAATCAGAATGCTGGGTAAACAAATAGGAGACAACCATTTTCTTCTTTCCTTAATAGAAATGCTAAAACATTTCTGAGCCTCTATTATGCAGCAGGCTCTGCTCCAGGACCGGAGGACTCTGCAGAAGAGAACAGACCAGGGAAGGTCCTAGAGAACTTATGGTCACTGCAGAAGAAAGCTTCACAAGTAGTCATGCAACCTTCCCACTTCAGGTAGGAGGAAACAGAATCCCACAACTAAGACTTGTTCAAAGTCATAGTTCTAAGACAAGTAAAATCCAGGATGAGACTTTAGATCTCCTGACACCTGACTAAATACCCTTACTACAAATATAAATATATACTACTGTATAATATATACAAATACCATATATGTGTACATAATATATATTATACACGTAATACATATTACATACATATATACTCATATTTATATAAAGCAATAAAAGTATATATTAATGATAACTCATAAAAAAAATACTTCCTTTCTTGGTTAGAGCACGGCTTTATAACACCAAGGTCATGGGTTCATATCCCCATACCAGCCACACACACACACACACACACACACACGCACGGACGCACACGCACGCAAGCATGCATGCGCGCACACACGCACACACACGATGTTTCCTTTTAAATAAAGCCCTTCAACTGCAATGAAGGGGCTAGGTAAGAGCTGCCTCAAGTGTATATATAATCTTGAAATGCAACATAAATCTTTTTTCCCACTGAACTGATCTCACTAACTAGAAAATTTGGCAAATATAAAGGCACAAGGATTTTAGACATTTTTTAACCTACCTCATTCGAAGGCTTGACTTAGCCATTTCATGATGTTCAATCTCTGCCTTTTTCATATAAAATATTTTTTTAATTGAATTTGCATCCTGTGAAGATAAAATTATTTGGCTTAAAAAAGGAATAGAAAAAAGGAGTTTGAAATGCCCTCACTCATACACTAGGCACCATCCATGGCACTCTTTCTACTTCGAGACTTCCATTCAGTAAATTCCCAATGAAGTATTCAAGAAATTCCTACAAGAAATTATTCATTATAGGACAATGAAACTTCTAAGAAGGAACTGCAAAGCAATGAAAGTCATTTTACATTGTGTATTACACTACACATATATTGTGCTTTATATTTACGAAGTTTAAATGCATGGATTAAATCAATATTTAACTAAAAAATGAATCAAAAACTAACCTTGTCTAGGATAAAGATAGACATTCAGATGAATGAAATGGAACCAAGAATCCAGAAATAAACACATACACCTATCATCAATCGATTTTCAACCAGGATGCCAAAACAATCAAATGGGGAAAGAACTGTCTTTTCAACATATTGTACTGAAATAATATCCCATATAAAAGAATGAATTTGGACTCCTACCTCACATACACAAAAATTGGTTAAAATTGGATCAAAGATCTAAATGTAGGAGCTAAAATCATAAAATTCTTAGAAGAAAAGATAGGTGTAAATCTTCATGACTTTGGATTAGGCAGGGAATGGTTTCTTTGATATGACACCTAAAACACAAGTAACCAAAGAAAAAATAGATAAACTGAACTATATCAAAATTAAGAACTTTTGTACATCAAAGGACACTATCATGAAAGTGAAAAGACAAGAGAATAGGAGAAAGTATTTGTAAATCATATATCTGATAAGGATTTAATATTCAGAAAATATAAAGTATTCTTACAACTCAACAATAAAAAGATAAGTAACCCAATTAAAAAAGGGCAAAGAATCTGAACATACATATCTCCAAAGAAGATATATGAATGGCCAATATGCACATGAAGAGATGTTCAGCATCATTAATCATTAGGGAAATGCAAATCAAAAATCACAATGATGGGGCCAGCCCATGGCTCACTTGGGAGAGTGTGGTGCTGATAACACCAAGGCCACAGGTTCAGATTCCTATATAGGGATGGCTGGTTAGCTCACTTGGGAGAGTGTGGTGCTGACAACACCAAGTCAAGGGTTAAGATCCCCTTACCAGTCAGCTTTAAAAAAAAAAAAAAAAAATCACAATGACATCCCACTTCACACCCACCAGGGTGGCTATAATAAATAATAAAAACAAAAATGGAAAACAAGTGTTGATGAAGATGTGAAGAAATTGCAACACTTGTACATTGCTGGTGGGAATGTAAAATGGTACAGCTACTCTGGAAAACAGTTTGGCAGTTCCTCATAAAGTTAAATATACAGTTACCACATGACCCAGCAATTCCATTCCTAGGTATGTACCCAAGAGAAATGAAAATATACATCCACATAAAAACTTACACATGAATGTTCAAAGCATAATTATTCATAATAGCCAAAAAGTAGAAGCAAACCAAATATCTAGCATCTGACGAACGAGTAAATACAGCATATCTATACAATAGAATATTCTTCAGCAATAAAAAGAATGAAGTACTGATATATACTACAACATGGATGAACTTTGAAAACATTATGCTAAGTGAAGAAATCCAGCCACAAAGAAATCCATACAGCATATTGTATGATTACATTTATATGAAATGTCCAGAATAAGCAAATGTATAGAGATGAAAAGAAGAATGGTGGTTGCCAAAGGCTGGTGCAGTTGGGGGAAATAAAGAATGACAGCTAATTGACTGAAGTTGTAATTTTGCAACTCCGTGAATATATTAAAAACTGTTAAACTGTATACTTTAAATGGGTTAAACGTATGGTATGTGAATTATATCTCAATAAAGTTGTTATATAACAATTATAGACTCTAAATTAAAGTTATATACTATTATCAATAAAAACAGCAATGACAAAAAACTAACCTTGAATACTTGAGAACCAGGCTCATTATAAGTTTTGGCATTTTTTGCTAGGAGATCTATATCTTTGGCCATTGCATGAATACTTTTGTAGCTTCCATTCTAAAGTAAATAACAAAATATAGCAGTTTCTCTTAACAAGAGTTAATCAGTAAAATCTTTTAAAAAAAGAACTCCTCATAACTTTAAATTGTTACAATATCCCATGACTTTATTAGAAAGTACATAAGTGAACAATATGTAAAGTCATTTTCTCTTTTATAAATTATTACTACTACCCATTTACAGAGAAGTTTTTGACATAAGTAGTAAAACCAGAGCTACAATATTCTCATAAAAATAACTTACAATTTAAAAAAAAATCAAATAAGGCAAGAGTCTTATTTAGTAAACATGTTGCGCTTACTATGTGCCAAGTGCTAATCTAAGTGCTTCATGAATACTAACTCATTAAAGTGGACTTAACAGCATTAAGTAAAACATCAGTCCAGCACAGAGACTAACATTTTATGAGTGCCTATTATGTGCAAGAGTTCTCATATTCTAAAGTTTACTCAATCCAAAATAACCTAGGGCTACTCATATAGTTGCCTCAATTTACAAAGGAGAGGAAGGAGGGACACACTCTAGGAAAAAGGTACATATGACAAGTACACAGAAATGAAAAGGACATGTCTTGGAGAGAATGAGATAACCAAATTAAGTGGAGTGGAGGCTGGGGAAGGGTAAAACTGTAAGTACAAGCTTAGGTAAGGACAAAGGGCACAGAATCCAGAGAGCCAAGCAAAGGAGAGTAGTTGGTTATGTGCCGTGTGGGACTACCCAACATCTGAGTGTCCTTCGTATTTGGAGAGAATTCCAGCACAGGTGGTAGGGAGGGCCCTACCTCTTACCATGAGGATGAAAGTGGGCAGAGACAGTCACTTTGACAGCAGCCTAGCAGTCAGGGCAAAGGGAAATAACCATGGGCCAGTTAATTCACACTTGGGTCTTGAGGGACTAAAGCAATAGCCAGGGAATGGCAGGAATTCAATCCTGACTCCTGCAGGGGAGGAGAGTCTAGCAGTGGGAACAGCAAGTATCCAGGGCTCACAGTGGCAAATGACAGTGGTAACAGCAATAGCACCACAAAGCAGCTGTGCATGATCTCAGCTATACCATGAACATCCATTAGTACTGCCTATTACCTAAAGGCTAGTTCCCCAGCCTTCTATCCCAGCAATTCCATGAGCTATCCAATACCTTTTCACAAACTCTCTTTCTGCTTAAGTCAGTCAGAGTTGGTTATTGTTGAACTGGTACAAGGAGTTGTGACATGCTTTAGGAGGCATTAGAAAACAAGTTACTGAAGTCTGTGAGCAGTGGAATGGCAGGAAGCCAAGGTCAGGAAGCAAGATGTAGAAAGGACTAGAGAGCTTTTTGTCAGGGAGGTAGGAAAGATTATTTCAAATACTTTGGACATAAGAGAACAAGGATCTTGATTAGGAGTGATGGCAAAAGAAGGTAACTCTGTGACTTTTGGAAGGAAGAAGGGACAAGATAAGGTGAGAGGTCAGAGAAAGAAGACAGGGGCTGAAGTAGAGGTGTTTAAAGATTTGATTTGTTTTTCAGTATTATGAAAACATCACCCCTCAGATAGATGTTAGAAACCTCAGGGATTTCAGAGACTTCAGTCATTCTCAGTAGCAGTTATTGGGCTGCGTTAAAAACCAGATGTTACACTAGGGAATCTGTATTTTAACATTTTGTGAAAATGTATCTATGTTACCAGTAGTTACTACATTGTTACTCTTTACTACTTACTCTCTTACAATTTAAAGCCAGAGAAGTTTCTCCCTCCTGGCAAATCTCATTTCTCAATGAGACCATGTATGTAACACATTAAGTTTTAGTCTCATCTCTCCATGAGACTATGTAACTTACTCTTTACTACTTACTCTCTTACAATTTAAAGCCAGAGAAGTTTCTCCCTCCTGGCAAACCTCATTTCTCAATGAGACCATGTATGTAACACATTAAGTTTTAGTCTCATCTCTCCATGAGACTATGTAATACATTAAATTTTCCTTTTTGGTTCATCTCCTGAGAGCAGCAAACCCTCCTTACCCTGGGAGGATCAGTGACACATTTACTGGGGCCTCACCCTGTAAGTGCTATGTGAGATGCTTTATAATACATTATTATTGACCTTTATGACTTTGCAAAGTGGCAATACTATACCCAATGCACAGCAGAGGAAGGAAGCAAGTCACCAGAACAAAGTGACATAGCTAGTAAGAAGCACACACAGGAAAAGAACCACATCAATTCTACTCTAAAAACTAGATTTCTGATATAATTCAGTTCTTTCTTCCTATACTTTCCTTAATGTCTCATCATCATATTTTAAATCCTAGCCATTCATTCAATTCAATGAATATTTACCGAGCATCTACTCTGGGGAGAGACAGTAAGTGTAGGAGTTAAGAGCATAGACTCCCTTACGGAGACATCTACTTCCTTGTTTTCTAAAAGCCCTAAGAAAGACCACAGGCCAATCTGCTCTAAATTGAATATGGTTACACATGGTCACTCATACCTGTATCCTCTGGGCAATGGTCTTGAGATCTATAGGCTCCTTAATTATTGCATAATAGTCTGGATATTGCTGGAAGACAAAAACCCAGGCATGCTCAATAAGTGAAAGTATCCAGCCAATGAGAAAACAAGGAAGCACATCAACAATCTGTTGCTCAACCAACCAGTTGAGCAGCTTTGTGAGATTCAAGACTAAAGATACAGCTGTACAGCATATTGTCTGTTTTGAAGTAAAAAAGAATTTGATTGTAAAAAGCTTCATGAAATATCCAACAGCATAACAAGTTGACCAAAAATCAAAAGTTGGTCTTCTCAGGTGGGAGAGGTTCAGGGGAAGTCAGACTGTGTCCTCCAGTCTCTTCCTACTGTTCAAACCCTTTTGAAGCTCAAACAACAACAAAAACATGAGGCCAGAGCTTTCCCTCAATTACTGGGCTTAAGGAATGATTTCAACGATGCTTCATCTTATCTGATCCCTCAATTTACAAGGAGTAGGCTTAAGAAAACAGTGGTGTAAATTGAGGGATCATATGAGCTCAAACTCCTTTCCTGCCCACTCTTTTCACCAGTTCTCCTTCTGAGAGACAGTTTAGAAGACAAATTATGGCAAGGCCATCTAGCATAGGGTATAGAGTAATCCAAGCTGTTGGCCCACATATTCCTATTCCACCGCTCCCACTCAACCAGGCTGCTTGGGAAAGACTTAGAAAGAAAAGGTCAAAACTGCCCTGCCCGCCAGGTCTCAATCCCTGTTGTCTTTCAAATTATCATGCCCCAAAGGACCAATGGGAACTCCTGATGCACAGTGTGCCTGAAGGCTCCTCTGGAATAGGGGAACTAGATATTTATTTAATTTTTTAAAAAAAATTTTTATTGAATCAAAATTGATTATACAAATTTTGGGGGTTCAACATTGAGATATGTTGATCAAATCAATATTACTAGTATATATATTGTTACAAATCATAATTATTATTTATGACCCTTTTCCAATTCCTCCCCATCCCCCTTTCTCTCCTCCTCCCCCCTCTAATTACCCTAGATTTCTTCTCATCCTCTGGAAGAATAATGGTTACTCTGTTGATTTGCTGCCCAAATGATCTGTCCAATGCTGAGAGATGTGATCAGGTCCCCCAATACTATCACAGAACAGACGCCTCTTCCGTCACTATGAAATGGGCTCTGTGGAGACAGACATCCTCCTCCTTTCTTTATCTCTGCTGGTGACTCTCCTTGTGTTAACGCACTCCAGTGGCTGGCGGACCATGTGCATCATTGTTGTGGTGTCTAGCCACCTTCACGGCAGCCATGGTTATCATGGTGGTTGTGGTGAGCCACCTACATGGAGATGTTTTTAGCATGCTCCTTGATGCTGGTAGTGTGCCTGGTTGTGGAGAATGTCCAATCCCCAGCTCCATACCTCGGGTCCCCGGGCAAGCCTCGAGGCACTGGTGTGGGTGTCTGGTTGTGGGAGGGGGGTCCAGTCCCCTTCTCCATGCCCCAGGTCACACCCCAAAGGACTAATGGGAACTCCTGATGCATGGTGTGCCTGAAGGCTCCCCTGGGATACGGGAAGTAAATACTGATGTTTTATTGCTCCAAATCACCCTTGGTAGTTTGATCACTACTGATTATCTCCTGTAGAGTAAGAATGTCTTGAGTAAAGACTGTACTTCTTTTCTTATAATTGTTTTTATTGTAGTAAAATAATGGAAATTTACCATTTTATCCATTTTTAAGTGTACAGTTTCTGACATTGAGTATATTCACACTGCTATGCAATCATCACCACCATCCATCTCCAGAACTTTTTAATCTTGCAAAAATGAAACTCTGTACTCATTAAACAATACCTCCCCAATCCCCCTAGCACCTGGCAACCACCATTCTACTTTCTCTCTCTATGATTTTGACAATTCTAGGTACCTCGTATAAGAGGAATCATATAATATTTGTCTTTCTGTGACTGGCTTATTTCACTTACTGTAGTATATTCAGGGTTCATCCATGTTGTAGCATATGTAAGAATTTCCTTCCTTTTTAAGGCTGAATAATACTCCATTGTATACATATACAACATTGCTTATCTATTCATCTGTCAATGGATACTTTAGTTGGTTCCATGTTTTAGCTATTGTGAATAATGTTGCTATAAATACAGGTATACAAATATCTCTTCAAGACCCAGATTTCACTTTTTTGGGAGTACAAACCCAAAGTGAAATTGATGCATAAAATTCTATGTTTGATTTTCTGAGGAACTGTCACACTGTTTTCTTAAAGTTTTAAATTGTATGACCAATATAATCATTATATCTTCCTAATCAGATCCACACTTAGGATAGCAGTGGTCATATGCTTTATTTCTTATGTTATAATTCTCCTACAACTAGTCAAGATACATCTTTAAATAATTAATCTTGTCAATGACATGGGGAAAGTGGCATGCCACTTATCAGTCAACAAGCAATTCTTGCACACCTATAACACACTGGGTTCCAACTACAAGGCAGGGATACAAAAGTTAATACGGCATGGTCCCTGTCCTCAAGAAATTCAGAGAGTAGGGAAAGAGACAGATACAAAAGTAAATGATCACAATGGGGCTAAGTGCTATAGTGGAGTACTTCTCAAAGTATATCCTTATCTAGAAATATAAAAATACTAGGCCATAGAAATGTTTGCAGTTTCATAGGATAATGTGAGTCAAATCTATAGCTGTGTTAATTATCTTCTGGGTGTGAAGAAATAAGGGGCTGTAATACTTTTTAAGGGTCTCATCCAAAAAACCTGTTCTTTTAGGGGTAGAAGAGTACATAATTTGTCTCTCTTCTCCATCACCAGGAGATCAAGAAGAACTAAGGGAGGAAAACTCATTTATCTTCCTCTCAACCTGTCTCCTGCACGAAGAGAAAGTTTCCTCTTTCTTATAAATAAAAGGTTTAGTTAAAGTGCTTATTTTATCACTGAAGAATTACCAATCTTGGAAACAACCCAAATGGATGAATGGATAATCAAAATGTAGTATATACAAACAACGCAATATTATTCAGCCTTAAAAAGGAAAGAGATTCTGATACATACTATAATATGCATGAATCCTGAACATATGCTAAGTGAAATAAGCCATTTACAGAAGTACAAATATTGTGTAATCCCTCTTATATGATGTACCTAGAATAGTCAAAATCATAGAGACAGAAAGTAGAATGATGGGTGTCAAGAGCTGGAGGAAGGCAGAAGTGGACTTAGTGTTTAAAGTGTATGGAGTTTTAGTTTTGCAAGACTGAGAAGTTCTAGAGATGGGTGGTGGTGATGGTTGCAAAACAACGTGAATATACTTAATGCCACAGAATTATACACTTAAAAATGGCTAAAATGATTAATTCTATGTTACATATACTTTACCACAATAAAAAAACATACAAAAATAATTACCAACCAAAAAAACAAAAACATATACATTTTTAAAAAACACACACAACATTCTGGTCAAGTAAAATGACAGATCATATCCTTTGTGCTTGGTACTGAGGCCACAAGGAGGCTCTCTTGGCTGCCTGCAACATCTCCTTTTTCTTTTTTTTTTGTCTTTTTTTGTGACCGGTAAGGGGAACGCAACCCTTGGCTTGGTGTCGCCCGCACTGCGCTCAGCCAGTGAGCACACCGGCCATCCCTATATAGGATCTGAACCCGCGGCGGAAGCGCTGCTGCGCTCCCGAGTGTGCCACAGGGCCGGCCCCAACATCTCCTTTTTAACCATACTTTATTTACCAATAACTAATAAAATTCTTGAAGTACTTAAAAAAAAATCAAACACTTTAATTCATCTGTCTTTAACTGTGTCACTTACCACTTTAGAAGGCAGTTTCTGAAAAAGTTCACTAATGAGATGTCCTGATGGATTTGTGGCTACAACTATAGCTTCAAGAAGCTGTTCCAGGATCTCCTTCAAGTAACTTGGAGAAGACTGGGCAATGGGGAAGAAGGGAGAGAGAAGGAGAGAGAGAAGAAAAAAGCACTTTGTGAGAGAAATCAGTAAATAATTGCCAAATATTAAATAGCTTCTAAAATTGTAAAGCTGGTTAGAACATGGTGCTGATAACACCAAGGTCCAGGGTTTGATCCCTGTACTGGCCAGCCACCAAAAATAAATAAATAAATAGAGATTGTAAAGCAAATTCAAGTTGCTCAAAAGAGCAACTTTAAGTAGTCTTATTTTAAGTACAAGTGTCAAGAATACCATAGAAATGCTTTGATGCTAGTATTCTGGTAGGACAATGACTACTTAATTAGAGTTGGGACTGCACTTTTAACCATGAGGTGCTCTGCCAGGTATAACAACTGAATTCAAGTTATGTCAGAATTGATGCACACCATTTCTGGACACAGATGTTGTACCCCTAGAATGACCTACGTGAAACTAATGAGGCTCTTTATATTATTTCTGTAACTAAATCTCTCGGATCAGTCCTTTTACTGAACTCTATTCCATAGTAAACACTGGAATAGCAAAGTTCAAGCATCATATGTGTGAAATGATGGAAATACAGAACTTTTTAGGGTCTGAGCAATTGAGCTAGAGAAAACATGCCCCGTAACACTTGGCCTTAATATTTATTCACATTTATTGAAGTCTTGGTATTATGGTAGGACAATGACTACTTAAGTAGAGTTGGGACTACGTACTTTTAACCATGGGGTGCTCTCCCAGCTCTAACTGAATTCAAGTTATGCCAGAACTGACTGGAGATTAAGCAAATTGAGGGATACCATTTCTGTTCTTCAGACTGACTGGCTTACACTTAGCATAGACACTGTTTCAACATGGGAAAGTATATGCCCCAAAGAGTACTAGGTTAGGAAGGATCTGAGTTTGAAGCAAGTTTCTACAGTGAGCTATTGGATGTCTCACTCAAGGTTTATATTAAATGATACTTCTAGTCCAAACCATGTTTTTTGCATATAAAATAAAGATTAATGGTTATTTCTGGTTTAAATCATAAAAGCACTAGTATTTTTATCCTATTACAACAGAAAATGTTTTTATTTAGTACAATCTCAGTTGTTTTTTTTTTTCCTTTTTGTCTTTTTTCGTGTCTGGCAATGGATCGCAACCCTCAGTGTCGCACCCGTACCGGACCGGACCGGCAACGGGATCGCAACCCTCCCAGTATCGCAACCCTCGGTGTTGCCCCCGCACCTCGCTCAGCCAGTGAGAGGGAGCCAGTCTGTATGTGGGATCCGAACCCTCAGCGGGAGCGCCGCCGCACTCCCAAGCGGTGCACTGCTACAATGCGCCACCGGGCCGGCCCTACAATCTCAGTTTTAAGGTACAACATTAACTCCACAGAGAGGGCACTAACATTTCTTGGGTCTAGCACAATGCCTGGCAATAACAGACACTCAATAAATATTTAACATATAAGACATGTGATTTGGTCAGAGTCCCCAACTACATATGCTTAGAGAAACAACACAGCACAGATGAAACTAAAATTCCCATGTGTAAGTCATTTACTTCCTAGCTACAACATGGTACCACAGAGTTAACTTCTAAAAGAGGAGAAGTACATTCTGCAGTCAAGACTCCATTCCTCCCAACCCAACCAGCTATTTTAGAAATGTGTTGTGGATGACAAAGGGAGTAGAGTATATGAATATATTCACACAACCTATTCCCACAACTGGGAAATCTCCAAGGAAATCGTTCTTGATTTAAAAATTAGAAGCCTGAAAATTCCTTCTCCCTTCACAAGAATCATAGGGCTAGAAAGAAGCTTGGGAGCTATAAATATGAACATGCATGATCCTCCCAATTTCTCATCAATTATGCATTACAGAAAAAAAAAAAATACAGGCAAGTCCTAAATGTAGACATTTTTATTTTTTGACTAGAACCCTGAAGGCTTATAGCAAAGCTGGGGCTTCTGCAGGCAATGTTCTGCCCAAGGAAGCATGGGCTAAGTTGCTTCTTCTGTATTCTAACAGAAAGTAAAATTCCAAAGAATCCCTACTGTTAATCACTTTTTATCTCATTCCAATCACTTAATTTCTTTTAAAGAATATAAAAAGCCCCTAGGAACTATATTTTGAGACCCCAAGAAGTAGTTATATTTTTGAGAAATTCACCACCACTGCTTCTTTCTGTGCTGGAGTTCCAGTGAAAGGCCTATCTAGGTAATTTATGGAAGAAAGGGGAATGCTCTGCTTTGTGTTTTTTTAAATTTAGCTGCAGAAGAGAGTGGTGATTCCCTCTACTATTCTTTTCTCTCTCTCTTTTTTTTTTCTGGCAGCTGGCCAGTATGGAGATCCAAACCCTTGACCTTGGTGTTGCAAAGCTATGCCCTAATCAACTGAGCTAACTGGCTAGCCCACTTTTTCATTTTTCAAACTGTTTTCATTCAGCAAATATTTATCAGTACCCACATGTCAAATACGATCTAGATGCCCAGAATAGGTGAACAAGGTGTTATCTTTTGAGGAGCTATCATTCTATTTGGTGGAAGACAGAAAATAAACATGTAAACTAATAAACAAGTTATTTCACATATAGTTATAACAATTAAAAAAAGGAAAAAAAAAACAATTAAAGACCATAGAACACAGTGATGTGACAGCCAAGTGGGGGGTGAAAAGGAGGAGTGGGGAGCAAGCAATTTAGACAGGGTGGTCAGGAAAGTCCTCTCTCAGTTGACACCATTTTAACTGATGTTAGAATAATGAAAAAGGGCCAGTCAAAGGAAGAGCCAGAAGAAACACGTTTTAAGCAGAGGTAAGAACTGCAATATTCCAGAGACAGGAACACACTTGGCATGTAACCAGTTTAACCTACAAAAATATTCCTGAGGGCTCGCCAGTTAGCTCAGTTGGTTAGAGTGCAGTGTTACAACACCAAGATCAAGGGCTTGGATTCCTGTATTGGCCAGCCACCAAAAAAAAAAAAAAATCCTAACTATGGTGATTCCACTGACTCTCCAACATTTAATGACAACATTTTCTACCCTTACATAATGTTTCAATCTAGCAATATTAACTACTCCTTGATAATATCAAGATTCTCTTTAAAACTGAGTGAGAAATATGCATTAATTAAGAGCAATTCATGAAAACAACCATGCATGGCACACATTGTCCAGGATGTCCTAGGACCCCTTGAAATTGGAGTAAAGCTCTCCAGCTGAATGTCCATTTACCCTCCCAATTACAGATGCAACTGCACAGGAAGCCCAGCTGCCCACAATAGCCCAGAGGAAATCACAGGCAGGGGCCCTGTTCACCTTCCAATAGACCACCTATCACTGGTTCCAGCTGCATACTTACTCCTTCGGTCACTGTGCCTTGACTGTCTTGTGCATCTTCATCATCATCTTCGTCATCTGCTTCTCCTTTCTGAACAAACTCATTTCTTGTTCGAAGGTACAAATCCCAGAGTTTGCAAGCAGCTTTATATTCAGGAGAATCTGGCTGTACATTAGCAAAGAGAAAAGAAAAAATATCACTTCCGTACTTTATTACAAGTCAATTCTACTTTTAAAGCACCCTGGTTCCAATAAAGACTGGTATTTTAAGAACAACTTTGGAAACTCTATTACAAATTTTAAAATCCTTATGATTTGGAAATACATGGGCATCAATCTTTCTCCTGAGAAACTAAGTGTATGTTTTAAAGGCATTTTGAAATCAAATTATTTACTTATCTATGTTCTATCTCATTACACAAAGACTTGAGGCTGAAGATAAATGATTTGCTAAGTTAAAACTATTACTAATACACTAAGAAAGACAATTTAAAGGATAAGATCTGATTTAAAGGACAGAAGCTAATGACTGCTCTGATATTACTTCTATTTTTAAGCTATTTAATATCTTGTCTGAAGATTTCTGTTCTTGAAGGAAACAAGAAACTTTCTTGTAAAAGCAATATTGGATGCAATGCTTAAAAAACAAAATAAAACTTTGAAAATGCATCCATGAGCTGCCAGTAAGGAGCAAGGATGCTCATAAAAGTAAGGAGTAAAA